TCTCTCTCTCTCTCTCTCTCTCTCTCAGCAATAGGCATATCCCCTCAGGTGAGGATTTTAAAAAAAGAACCCAGTAAAGACAAAAAAGAATAACTGTATGAGACGGGAGTGGAGGGTAATAGCAATATGGGTCTTGTTCTAGAGCAGCCGTGGGCAAACTACGGCCCGCGGGCCGGATCCAGCCGTTTGAAATGAATAAAACTAAAAAAAAAAAAAGACCATACCCTTTTATGTAATGATGTTTACTTTGAATTTATATTAGTTCACACAAACACTCCATCCATGCTTTTGTTCCGGCCCTCTGGTCCAGTTTAAGAACCCATTGTGACCCTCGAGTCAAAAAGTTTGCCCACCCCTGTTCTAGAGACACCACCCAAAAATACCAGTTGAAATTGCACTATAGAAAAAGAATGGAACTGTTTGCAGTCCAGGAAATGAAACTTTGTCCTGGATCAGGTAGATACCCTGTAAAGGTGTCATCAGATAGATCACTTTTAAAATGGATGAAATAGCAACGTTGATGAAAGAAAACAAACATTAAAAAGCAGAAGCCATGGATCTTCTTGTTCACTGACGTACAGAGCGATGCTGTAAGGCATGTAGCTTCCTTTAACAACTTCCTACTAGGATATGCCAGATACTGTGCTAAATGTTTTAATGGATCCCACTTAAAGATTCCTACTATCCAGTGAGGAAGGTATTAAACAATTTTACATGTAAATAAACACATTTAAGGTTTACATAACTTGCCAAGTTAACAGAGCTGTTTCCACCTGAGGACCATGGAAAATAAGTTTAGAATCATCACGTAAAACAAGTAGGATGGCTGTAAAGATGTGCTTCCTCCTTTCATCACTAAAATTGATGAATGAGTGTAAATCACCAGATAGTTAAAGGATTATGAAAAAATACCTAGGAATTGAAATTATTTCTAAAAATCACCAGGAATTTAAAAGGTTCTGAAAGTGTAAGTAGGATGTTACTAAACCTGAAGGGCTCAAAATCGGAGGTGTGGTACTGGGAGGAGGGGAAGTCAACATTGGAAAAGAAAATAATTTCGACTGGATTAACCACTTAGGAATCAAGGTCTTTTCATTCTTAACTTATTCTGATGAAAATACCCATGCTTCAATTTTCTTAAAGATGGCTGCTATACAGTTTTCCACATATATTCAAAGAAGAAAAATTTATAACTTGTGTGATATACATAATGTGCCAACCCTATGAAAATACACAAGTAACAAAAGCAGAATTCTTTGTGACTTTGACATGTGTCATGTTAAGACATAAATACTAAAACTGCTTCATTTCAATTACTCTGTCACTTATATTTCAAAGACATAAAATCTAAACAGGAAAAGAAAGTAAGACACTCTTTGTACCTGGAACACAGCGAGGAATCTTGGGTACCCAGGTATTATCAGCTTCACAGACAATTTTGCGGCTGCCTTGAAGGGAATAACCCTGGTTGCATTCAAACTCAACTTCTGCTTTGTAGTAATATTTTTTCCCAAATCCTGACAAAATAGTTCCATTAGGGAGTGATGGATATGGACATCTGACCACTGAAAAGTGAAGAAATTTCAGAATTAATGAAAAGCTGTTTTAGCCGAGGAGAGAAAACAGAC